ATGTAATACATTATGGCCTATTTTTAAATAGAACTGACATTTGAATTTTTGTTCATAGAATTGCATGTTGTACTGTGTATGGTGGAGTTTTATAATATCCTCAATGCCAGTGACAAAGACAGTTTCAATATCGGCATATACTGGTATTGCACGTCATGTCCGTGCCTGGGGAGACGGGATCTCTGTTGCCTCTCGCCTGAGGTTTCTCCCATGTTCCCCTTTAAACTGTGGTGGTCTTTTTCTCGGGGGTAACTTTTTCCTTGTACGATGTGAGGGTCTAAGGACAGAGGGTGTCGTATTGTCATACTGATATTCTGTACAAACTGTGAAGTCAACTGAGCAGAGGTGGGACCAAGTCATTGTTTTGCAAGTCCGAGTCAAGTCTCAAGTCTTTGCGCTCAAGTCCGAGTCAAGTCTCAAGTCTTTGCGCTCAAGTCAAGTCTCAAGTCAGGATGGGCAAGTTCAAGTTAAGTCCAAGTCCTAAACTTTGACAAAATGAGTCTTAAACAAGTCATTATGTGCTTTTCACCAAATGTAATGACATCGATCAACAGAATAATACTTCATAATCAAACTGCCCTTTATTAGTCACATTAATAATTTAATAATCCATTTTCTCTCTGCTGGTAAAGTTTACCAGTTTTGTTTGCGTGGTGCAGACACGTAAATGTAGCAAAGTTTGTGACTCCACCACGCAATGCGTGGAGTCGTGGTGGAGTCACGCATTCTGGTGAGACCAGGTTGGCGATATATATTGCGATATGAAAAAATACAGGGATTGAAGAAAAATACATTTTTCATTGTCCGCAAACCATTCTTTCTTGAACTTTAATGCTATAAAATTGGTATTTTTCTAACTTTATTTAACCGGATGAAGGATTTTAGTCACGGACGTCTGGATCTTAAGTTATCCGAGCAACACGCTGAGCTAGCTCAGTTAGCAGCGCCGAACTGTCCTGGAGAAACACATGAAACTACTTTATTCAGTGTTTTTACCTTTAATCACGGGGTCCGTTTGCTTTGGAGATTTGATTGTGATTGGTGGTTTGCTGTGCATGCAGAGCACTCACTCAAGTACCCCTGACATGAGAGCCGCGCAAGTTTTCCTTTTGTAGCAAGGAGCAAAATAATTGTAACATGACGTGTTTGAGTTAATTTGCATACTTCTTTTTTTCATCGCACGTCCTGTGATGTGAATATCGCGCATATCGCGATTATCGTCATGACACAATATATCGTGCAGCCCTAATACACATTGATTGATTGATCGTCCATGAACCCAAGGACACAGACTAGAGGTCATCCAGAGAGGCTTCATATGTGATTATGTTTTCACTACCTACACTTTATCATGATGTGTGCCTATTCTGCAGATCTTTCATACACACTCCTGGAACAAATCCCACATACACACAGGTACACACAGGCCCAATTCCAAACAGCCCCCTCCCCACTCCCACTCCCCCTGTAGTGTCACTCACAGCTGAATGAGGCTCCCTCCTTTCAGGTGGGGGGTGTACATACAGCTGCCAGCTTTGAGAAGAACTCCCCTCTCCAGTAGAAACAGGAACTGCCTTAACTATAGGTAACAACGGTTTCAATTCAACATCTCTCGGACAAAAATAATAAATGATAACTAAAATAAAACTCTTATTTCTTTCTTCAATCTTGTGTAAACCTGTTTTGGTTTTAAAATCTGATGTTTATAAGCTTCTTGGTTTTTGGCAACAGTCCGTAAATAATACAACATGTTATAATCAAATGCACACGTTTTCCATTTCTACACTTGACACAGTTATATGATTTTAGTAAAGAAAATCTGAAGTAACATCAAGTTGTTAACATCTGTATGTCGATATTAACACTAGAACCGCCAGAGGTCGCTGTATACCTAAAACCGCCAACGGGTAAAATGTACCCGCTATTGATTTGCAAGGTACAATGTTCTTTTATTTATCATACAGAACAGTGAGTTTTGATCGCACAGGGATGACATTTATACCAATAGAATCTGTGGACTCTCAGCTTTTCATATGATATAGCTTGTGCAGATAGCATGAAGTATAAAATATCGCTACAAGTGCTGATTTAAACGCTTGGTGTTAGACTTGTGTTTTGTTTAGGTACAAATCTCTCAATCTCTCTCTATCTATCTATAACTATCTATCGATCCATCTGTAATGTTCTGTTCTATGGACATATAATTGTCTACATAAACAGACGACGTGGACTGCTTCTCTTATTCCGAGTTTCCATCTTTATTCAACTGGAGCGTAACCTGCACACATGCATTACGTCCTCAACGTGAGCTCAGTCATCCAAGATCTTGTATTCTCCAAGATGTTACATTATCTATAACTATATATCTATCTCTCTCTCTCTCTTCTATCTATCTATCAATATATATATATCTATCTATCTCTCTCTATCTCTCTATCTATAAGGAACCGTAGTAGACAAAAGGCGTTGCTATAGCAACACGTCATGTTTACGCTGCATTTTCTATGAGGTAAATATTACCCGCTGGCGGATATGGGTATAAATCGCAATTTATTTGGCGATTTTTTCAATCTGACTTCCTATTGACCATTTTTAACAACAGAGGGTGCTACATAACACACTTTCAGGAAAGGTCACGGACTGGGAGACTTTAATATGTTATGTAAAAAAAGTTACATACAATAAAAAAACAGCTGCGGGTAAAATGTACCCGTTGGCGGTTCTAGTGTTAATGACAGTATACTAAAGCAACATTTTCCAAGTATGCAACCTTGATTGCTACCCTGTTAATACCTAAATGCACATAGTTTTAATGTAATGTGTGTCCCATCATGGTGTGATTTAATGTAAGGTAATTACATGTGTCGTGCATTCTCATCCCAAAAGGTTAAAGCTACTTTACCGGAACATCTCTGGTTTGATCCCTGCTGAGGACGTGTGTTTCTCTGTCCGCCTCCATGCTATCGGCTCACTATAAAGACATGCTTTTTCTATGGTTGCCAAACAGCATGTTCTTTCTCCTCTAGAAAGACACATAATACGTCTCTGAGCAGTTGATCCTATGCTCAGTACATTAGACACAGCTTGATCTCTGCGTTCCCAGAATACATTATACAAGTTGAGGGTAAATCTTTTGGCAGGTCAGACGGGAGGACGTGCAACAGTTTTAATTTATTTTTAGGAGCAGGTGTTCTTTCATCAAGACCAGTGCATTGGAGAACAAGGTTTGGCTTGACAACAGCCTTTGGCAAAACAAATAAATGCTGGGTCACAGAGAAAAGAGGTGATCCAGTCGTCGTTCGCTGCTGCAGAGTCTAAACTTTTCTGACAATGCACCGACCGGCCAATCAAGGACATGAAGGTGTCCTTCTCCAGGTACATTATCGAGTAGCAGGGTGCTAATTATACTGTTTGCCTGGCAAGTGATGACACAGCGGATCAAATTATTGTGATGCCTTTCAAGAGTGGCACAATCTCGAAGAAGTGTCGTCCCCTTCTAATCCAAAGGTTCGATTTTTGGGCAATTTTGTCTCTTTTAACTTTCTTCAGTAGAATTACTTCTAGGTTTGTTTCTGGGTAAGTAGAGCTTTTCAGAAATCCAATCAAATCTAAAAAAAATGTATGTATGCAATTTTGCAACAACATACGTGCATTATACGTAAAGTAACTCTTGACACCTTTGGCACATGTCAGAGTTTTGGATAGAAAGTAGTGCATGTTATATGTCAGGCACAGTTTATAAGTAATAGATAAATAAACTGAAGGTCCATGAGTGAAATAAGAGGCTTTAGGGGGATTTGTGAGAGTTCAAAAATGGCTCCAACAAGACGACCAACAATTCATGAATTTGGTCAGGGGTCAAGGAATCCTTCAGAGTTATGTTTATTTTTCTATAGGTCACTCATAGTGCCTTCCTCATTCTGGACAATTGGCCTTAAAACCTACGGACACCTTCATACTAGGGATGCACCGAATATTCGGCCACCGAAAATTATCGGCCGAAAATGGTTAAAAAGGCCCTTTCGGCTTTCGGCCGACATGTTGGCTGTGAGCCAGCCGCCAGCATGGTCGCGCGCCGTGCTTGTCGCCGCGTTTTGATTACGTCATCACAACAACACGTTAGGTTACCAAAGTTATAGGTGCATTTGTTGTTGTTGAAGGCCTGGCTGTTACAGTCTTTATTTACACTATTTTGTTGTAGGCCTACTGGCCTAGATGTTTATGCAGTTTTAAAGCACCTTGGCTTTGTTCTGAATGCACTTTGTTGTAGTTATCCTACAGAGAAAAGAAAATGCACTTGACTTGGAATTAATGTACTGTATGCATTCAAAAGTGCTGAATAAATGTTTTATGGACCCATAATAGTGATTATTATTTAAGTTAAGTTAAGTTTTGCCATAATCATGTCTTTTTCCATAATCAGGTAGCTGAACAACATTGGTAAAAAATGTATACGTTATATATATATTTCTATTAATCATTTTCGGCCTTTCGGCATTCGGTTTTCGGCCAACTGTTTCCTATTTTCGGTATCGGTTTCGGCCAAGAATTTCCCATTCGGTGCAAACCTACTTCATACCAACACATTTGACCTCTATGCTAAATGTCAGGCAACTAGGACTGCTAAATGGTATAGGAATGTTAAGTGGATGGGAAATATGGGAATACTTTGCCTCAAGAAAGCATGTTTTTTCCAATATACAGACCTCAGAACAACTCGAATAATGAAACAGCAACAGAGACTTGTGTAGACACATATTGATTGGGCTGCCCATCTTTTTCGAGGACATTTTGACATACGGAGTAGAAGCCAAGGATCGAACCGCTGACCCTGTGATTATAAGATGACCTAATCCACATCTGCAACTACAGCCTTTGTCTAAAGACTTTTTCTATCACTTTTGAAAAGACAGCAGGTAAAACATATCGTACACTGAACACATGTCCTTCAGCTTTGTGAGAGATTTAGATGAATACGAGATGTAGTCAAATGTACACATCTTTATAAGACAGGACAAAATGGAAAAGGAGATCGTCTGATTGTTTGAAGACATTTTCTTAAGAGAGTCACATTAATACAAAGATCTATCATGGAATACCAGTATTTTATATACTGCAGTTGTTATACCACATTTTTATATTCTGTAACATGTGTACATGGTAATATGCCAACTTTGCTTCAAAAAGTGTTCCGTTAGTTCATCCAAGAAAAGAAAAAAGAAAAAACGTTTTAAACAATATTGAACTCACCATGAAAGGATTACAATACCCTGCGAATGCTCACGGTCTGTCTTTAAGCGTTTATCTTTACCACAAGAGAAATCACAAAAACTCAATGCTTTGGGTAACTCGTTGGATTTGATCCTGTCTTCCATTTAAAATACTCAAAATAACTGATTAATGATTTACATAGTCCCAAAGGGAGGGGAGACAACACTGTGAAACTATAAGAATTCATATCAGGATAATAAGAAAGAGATGTGAAGAGTTTCAGTCCAAAATGCTAAATATCCAGATACAACGTAAAGGAAAATCGTTGCCTGAGGAATCAGAATCCACTCGGTAAAAATGAACTCAAATTCAGCATTCAATTAGGAAAGAGTCATTTAAAATAATTTCATTTGGTTTAAGTTTTTGTTGTTGTTTCTGTCAAGCTTTTTGGGGGTCATCGTTTTCTGTCACATTTTGGAACAAAACTCTTCAGTTCAGTTTTTACTGTAATTAACAACAACAAAATGATGGAGAGGGCAATACCATAGAGATAGCTGATCCACTTTAGTGATTATTATTTGAAATGACTGGCATACATTAACACATTGACCTGCTTCAGTGGCTTCTCTCTGGATTTAACAGAATGTTATCAAAGCATAGAAGGTGTCAAACCTCTTCTCTGCTAAACATGCAAAGGCCACGAGTTCAAGGAAGGAACATTGACTGTAAGTCAAGTACAGCTGACGGGAAAGAAACAGGATCATACAAACTGTGTGTGTATATATTTTTTTGTTTGAAACAAATGCAAGTTAACCCTCTGAGACCCACAATAGGACATTTCCGTTTTTGTATATTTGTGTTTTTGTCTACACATCCAAGAAATCAGCACAACCTCAGGTAATGTTATATGTTACTCATTAAATACTTCTATACACTATAATAGGGGATATTTGACCATAAAATAAAAATAACTAAAAATGGAGCTTGAATCTTTAACTTATTTTATTAAAACAGAACTTCGAACCATAATATTGGAAAAAACATTCAACACAGAAAATGTCACACATTCGTTGGGATTGTGCCAGAAGTGATAAGAAGCTTCTAACTTCTTCTGTTCATGAGTTATGCTTCGAAGACGGCTTGATATCTGGGATCGTATACGGCCCAGTGGGTCTCAGAGTGTTAAGCAGCCATTTTGTTTCTTTTCTCTCTTGTGAAGTGACAGGATCCTCTTGGTATTAACCTCAAAGGTGTTTTTAATGAGATATTGAGAAATGAGCTCACCTGTCTTCTTGCCAACAGGTGAACGAGAAGATTGATACCACTCTTGTGTCTGTAAGGTAAATTAAGGGCTACCTGGTTAGCTTAGCCAAGCATAAGATTAGCTTAGCTTAGCATCAGGTAATGATACGAGGACGACGTAACGCAGAAATTATGAAATAACATTTACAGGTAGGTGGTTTTTGTTACCTATGGATAAAGACAGGCATGCTAATTCTTAGCTAACTCCCCTTTTTCAGTCTTGATGCTAAGCTAACATCTCTTGAGCTAAATCTTGATCACACTGAAACAATAGTGGTATTGATCTTATCAAATTCTCAGCAAGAAAGGAAATAACTTTTCATTCATTTTCAATTACAAAAAGTGTTTTCTTAAGCGTGGAGAAGCAGTTTCACACCAAAACGCCTAAAAGTGACAGGACAGTTTCTCAAAGCGTGTGAATGTATTTGAAGGATGTGGTGTAGGATTTTACTTTTCAACACATTATTCTTTCCATAAAAAGCATATGAAGTGGGAAGTGATCAAGAGGCTTCATCACCTCTTTGGAAAAGTGTCGTGTCGATGGCTCAGAGTCTCTGTGATTCACAGTCAGCTGATTTTTCAAACTGCCCTTCAGCTTCACCACAAAAGACAACTTACCAGCACCAACACAGGTATATCCCAAGAGAAATCGCCTCTAGTTTAGGATGAAAACAAATACCATAGCTTTATACTTTAGCCACCCAGATCACAGTCAGAAAAATAACCAAAATAACACCCGAAAAAAATAAGTTAACATAATTTTGACACATATAATTTTACAATATGTACATTATTTTTAAATTAAAATAGATTTGTCGGTTGTCTGATTGGGTAGGTCCTCTAAAGAGCGCTCCTTTTTGATTTTTTTCAACCATCCAGTGTTATTCCACATACGAAGAGTTCCCATTGAAACGTCAAAGCCAGCCAATCAGAGTGCAAGTAAGGCTGCCATCGTCCAATCGCCCAATAGTTTGTCGGTGACGTCTTGGGACAGGGCCGAGCCCTTAATGCAACACTATCGGCAGACACTTCAAGCCTGACAAAAAGAAATAAATATAAAATATATGTAATATTTCTATATATATTCATAAAACCAAACCCAGGATAGATTTTAATTCTGATGTGTGTCCTCTCCATAATATAATCAAACAGTGGCCTTGTTCCTATTGCCAGTCCACTTTACTCCCATCTCCATTTTTGTGTATTTTTGCAGTTTTTCGGGGGAAAAAAGAAAAAAGAAGTCTTCTTCGAACCTGTACATCTTATACGGAAGTAAACAAAATGTAAAAGTGCGTGTTTTTTGAATATGTTTTATCCACTATATCCAAAAGTGTTGCAGGCACTTAAGTCCTTCCCAAACATTGTAGGTGTTGTTCGACAGTGGAGTAGGTTGGTTTGGTTATTCCTGGATTCGTGTGAGTCGTTCTCGGGCCGATGCTAGCCCAGGATGTCCAGGTACACCGGCGTGGCTTTCCCCATGGCGAACAGGACCTTCTGAATGTCCTTAACGTTCAGTCGCTGCTGCGGTTCCCTCTGCCAGCAGCCCAGCATGATGTCGTAAACCTCCTTGGGACAAATCCGTGGCCGATCCAGCACCCGACCCTGGGTTATGCACTCAATAACCTGCAGAGGAGACAGGGCGGTGGAGTGAGACAAAACATTTTCACTGACTGATTGCTTCGGTTCGGTCATAATGAGAAACGGCCGACACTGAGCAGACTGTCCTTTGAGGTTTGAACTAATGAAACTGAGATGAAAGAATCAACAGTATGCATTCATTCTTAAATGTGTCCAATATTAAAGGGGAACCAAGATCTTTGAGCCACAACACGAAATAACAACAGACTGAATATGTGCGGGGGTGGATGTTGGAGGTGTTGATAACATCGGGATTGATCATCTCTCTGTTGGACTTGTGCTCTAATTAGCCAGATGACTCACTCAGCTGTGACAATTTGACTTTATTTTTGTACCAATTTCAAGCCGCTGTAGCCTAATAGAATAGATACGGATCTATTTGTGTGTAATGACTGCGCTGCACTGAAAAACTGCACAACTTTCTAGTTGTTTTTTTGTTAAAGCATTGTCACCACATACACTTGTGTACTGAAGCCAGCTCAAACATTAGGTTTGTTTACTTAGGTTATTAGGCGTAGTATAATCACAAACAGAGGTAAATAGGAACAATGGAAAATCTCCCGTAAGACATATCATGGTGTCATGCTATTTCACGCTCTTACATCTTTTATCTGAAGCCTAATTATCTGGAAAGAATGTACAACACACCTAATCTGTGCTTAAATAAACATCATTTACGTGAGGTTAATACTCAAGAGGGTCAGCAACATCTGAAACAACAACCAAGAGGGAAAACCCGTTTTTTTATTGTTCCACCTGTTGCGTCTCGTCTTGTCACCAACAGACAGCCTTGAGACCCAGACCGAGGGGATGGAGCATCACTTCCTGCAGAGACATATGGAGCCTCTTTGCACAATTCCCCAGAACACAATCACAAGTAGTAAAGGCTGCAGTGGTCATGGCAACAGCCTCCGCCGAAACAGATGTGAGGTAATTATCCTTGGAATAAACATGAACGTGTACTTTTATATGCAACAACATTCTGGTTTTACCTTTTAACCAAAAAAGACTCCTTTTAAGTTGTTAACATCGCTGGTGAAACTTAATTCCACTAATTCTATGTTTAAATGCACACTCGTTTAACCATTCAAAACACAGGCTGGGTCGTGTCTAACAGACAGAGACTCAAACAAGCAAGAGGCAGAGGTTTTGCAAACTGCACTTAACGAGACTCATATTCTGAATGCATCGTATACCAAGAATGCTCATGAAACAACATAGGCATATATCATGAGTCTTAATAGGAAACACTATGTGAAACTGTTATGGAATAATGTTCTTAGGTATTCAACCTTTGACACAGTTCATAAGCTTCTCCTTTCACTGTCTCTTTTCCCATGGCATAGTTCTACGGCCTTGGATATTGCTGCTATCTCTCGTAAAGGAGGGGCCGCTTGGGCGCATTGTTGTTGCCAGCTTATGACCGAGCACAAGCCGCCATGAGATGGTTTATTGTTCAGGGACATCTAGAGGCCCTTCTTTTATCTGGAACGGAGGTTCCCTGGCGCACATTCTTTTCTATGGACGACAGCTCTAGTTAGAATCAGGGTCCATATTTGTTTAGTCTCGCTGATAAAGAATGTTGATCTAGTTAAAACCTCGAACTACAGAAGAGAATCTTCAAATTCAGAATTGATTTGGCATCTCAACCTGAGTCAACTCGTGGCTCGTGACATGTCTTGTGAATTCTCCGGACAAAGCTCCAAATAAACCGTCAGTGTTTGCCATCAAAGCTCCGGCTCTCCTCGTGTCTCTCTGAGTCCTGGCTCTCCATTGCTACAAAAGTTTCCTTCACAACAACATAATTCATGATGTGGTTAATTTACAAGCTTTGTTATGTTTATTAGTCCAGTGTGTTTATGCCAACTAAGTATAACTGGTTAGAAAGGTACCCCACGTTCCAGTTGCTATTTGAAAGTATAGTTTGCATATGATTATTATTTTATTATTGCATATTGTGTTGTTTTCACATTCTTTTGTTGTTCAGAAGCAGTATTAACTTTTACATGTAATTGCTCGTTTTCCGCCTGAAAGTGTGCAAGTGAAGAAAGAGTAGAAGAAGAACGTTTCTTCATCGGTTGTTTTGATACAGTGACAGAGCTGTTTTCATTAATAAAGTTGCTACGAGTGAGGAAAGATAAGTGATGTCTGCTTGAGTCTTTAAGTGCAACAACTACAGTGAGAATAACTACTCATTCTGTTCATGTAAAACATGACCAGTATCATATTCAGAATATTCTCAAATTGGGAATAATAGTTATTAACAAAGCAAGCTATCCAACTAGCACAATGTCCGAAGGCTGGCTAGCTGTCTTGCTAACTCCGCAGTGCTTTAATACTACACTGATTAAAGAAAGCCAAACTGACTGTTAGTGATGAGGCTAACAGCCCGTCATCTTAACCTCTATGGGAAGGACAAGCTGCTTAGCTAAGTGAGAACCAACAACAACATATTTAGTGCAGTCCAATTAGCACTGCAAAAGTTCATTGTCCATTCTACTCTTATCCTGTTTCTATGCTATACACCAGGGGTGTCCAAACTACGGCCCGTGGCCCATTTTGAAACGGCCCTCAGCTAATTCAAAAAGTATAATGGCATATGGCCCACAAATTAAACTTGTGCTTGTCATACATTGTACTTCTAAAATACATATGTACAAATAAATTACACAGTATTCATGTGTTAATACAATAAGCCCACTTTTCAAATAAATGTAGTCAATTAAAGTTGGAAACATTTTCAAACAAATCATAGTTTAAAACAAAAAAGAAGCCCAATAACTGAATTACATAACAAGCTTGAATTCCACCCTTCATATTTCCTCTTTTTATAACCTGAGCTTCTGTGTTATGGGATGAGCTCTATGAAGAGCTGTGATGGAGGCTGTTGTGTTTCTTAAAGCATTTTCAAGTATCAAGCAGAATTGACCTACATTTGATTGATTTTGCTAACTTATAACTTAACCTGTGAGGCAATAAACCTCACCTCTAGTGAGTGGCCCATTCCTTCGTATATGTTCGATGTGGCCCTCAGTAGAAAAACGTTTGGACACCCCTGCTACACACAGTAGTGTTTGGCTTTGGACCGGGCAGTGGCTTGTAACAGAAGAGGGGGCAGTGAAACCAAAGAGTATATTTCATCCCCCTATAGCTCTATGCTCCCTGGTGGGATCATATTGCTCGTGATAAATGCAGCACGACTCCAGTTAACAAGCAACTCTGCACAGATAAGCAGCGGGAGCCTCAGCTGCAGGGAGAGCCAGGCAGGACGCCGCTGCTGAATATAAAAGCTCGGAGACTAGTTCATCCTCGACCTCTGCTACTGCAGCGCTGGTGTTTTAGCAAAAATGTTGACATAGAGTATTTGTTCAATTTGGTATCATCGAGTGTAGCTTCAGAGCTGTTACATTCAGGCTGTTTCTCAATATCTGATTCTGTATCAGTTTGTTTCAGTTATTTATTGAACCTAGGTCATGTTTACCCTCGGTGAAATATATAAAATATGTTTATTATGGCTGCACTATTCATTCAAATGTGTTTAATTTAAAACTCATTTCCCCTCAGACAGACCTCTGCAGCAGAAAACACTTCCAGACACCGGCCCTTTGTTTTGCTCGTATTTTGGACATTAAATAAAAAGTAGCACTTAAGACTTTAACTAATGCACCATCACTAACAATGGTTCTGTTATGTCAGCACTTCTTTTTCTGAGTTTGAATCTTTATGGTTTTTTGCACTTAGTGTAAGTCGCTTTGAAAAAAAGAGCCAGATATTTGAAGTGTAATTTAATGTAGTGACATATTTGTTATCTTTGGAAACTTTGCAATCTCCTTTAGAATTTGAAACACACTTTTGTTGGTTTTAAAAAAGACCTAAATGGCTGATGACTTCAGAACAAGTTCACTTTAACCTTAAATGCATTTAATTTTAACAAGTTATTTCCTTTGTGATGTTTCTTTGTTTATTATATTAAACTATTTGAAACCGATGTTAGAAATACAGGTTTTGTGACCATTTAGTTAGATTAGATTGAGTGTATTTGATTAGTGTTTGGTGTTTTTAGCTTGAAAATGTTTCTACGTGAAGTCTCTCTAATTCTTTAGATTTGTTAAATACATGTTAAATACTTTCTGTACAGTGGCTGAACCCCTATTGTCGAGCATCAGAGAGCTTATTGGGGTGTCCAATTTCACACATCTCCATTCTGTTTTACGATTGTACTTATATTTCTAAATGTTTGTAGATACAATTAGTTGCTTTGGCTATTTGGCAGCCTGGACGTTTGTACCGCTTTACAGAAAAGCAGTGAAGCCCATAGTGGAGGATGAGGCGTGTGTGAAACAGTTAACCAACAGCACCCATGAGTTCATTCATCATTGTCATCTATACCCATTCCTAATTGTTTCTGTAATGTATTATAGCGTAATGTGTTGGACACATCTGAATAACTGAATAATAAGTACAATATTCCAATCTAACAGCACCTGAAGTTACAACGGGAACTGATTGTGGTTTTTCACTCTTTTGGCTATGACACACTGTAATGCAGAGCTCTTCTCATTACATCCTGAAGAAGGTTTTCGGCAATGTAGTTTAATCAGCTGAGTGTTTCATTTACAGTGTCTCAAAAATCTTTCAGCTGGAGAAGCACAGGAATATGGTAATACCGATTTGTGTCAAGCCCAATAACTTATTGATGTTTAAACTGGAATACTTATGAGTGCAATGCATGCCAGGTTATTATTTTAGGTCAATTACATTTTCTCAATATGCCCGCTTTACAAGAGTAAACCTAATTGAATTTTATTGATTCTAAGCAGAGCCTCCAATGAAAAAACAAACTCATCATGGGTGTTATGTAATGTGGCATCTTGTCTGGTGGCAAGGCGGCATTCATTCATCACCTCGTTGGGCCAGCGCCGGTCTCAGAGAAAGAAAAGGCACACGAGGCAGTAGATTAAGATGGAAAATGGCAGTGTTCATTTACATCCAATTGAGTGGTGCAGAAATGAGTCTTTAACCCATAGATGAGTCAGCATTTTACCACTTCCTGTCCCCTTGCCTGGAAGACAATGTTTTTTGAATGCCATTTTGGTGATAAGCCTGAAATAAGGTCTGTGGTTTTAATATATAAGTATGGATTGGAAGTTACTTACAACATTTTGAATAGCGGAACAATTTTGCTAGAAGAAGGTCAAACTCAGAGTTGATTGAAAAGTCCCACCTTTAACGAGCTGAAGAGATGTTCACGTCTAAAACCAACCCTTCCCTCGTAGACATCAAATATGTCAGTAAATTCCACACAGGTGGATATCTTGGGCTTTTATGTGTCCTAAAAATGACAGCTGCTAACAAGTGTCTAAATGAGACAACTTAACGTCATCACGTCGAAAAATGTTCCGCTTTTAGCTTAGCGTTGGTGAAGTCATGAGAGCATGTCGTTGACGTTACCTTTTACTTCTTGAGATTGCATTTACGCTTTCACCTTTATATGAGTGGTGTTCTTACGTGATTATCCTGCTGAGTTAAGTACCATAAACGTGACTTGTCAAAGATCTTATTTCCTGCATTATTTCAATATTCAATGTAAAACTCATTGGCTTTTTGATAAGGGAACCAGCGGGAGGCTAAGTTCAGTGTTGGCCTACAGTACATCATCACTGCACCATTATATTGGATCCCTACTTTAAAAACAACTTAATTAATGTATTTGTTTGTGATTTGAAAGAAAATGTATTACCATTGGATCACTTGGAGACGTAACTTTCAATGTGTGCTTGATGGCGTACAATCCAAAACACGTATATTATATGGTACTGTATCTAAAGGCTTCTTTTACCTCGTTGTTGCCCAGCTGAAACCAAGGCTGCTTCCCATAGGTGAAGATCTCCCACAAGATGACTCCAAAGCTCCAGACGTCGCTTTCCGTGGAGAATTTCCTGTACATGATGCTCTCTGGGGGCATCCAGCGGATAGGTAGCATGGTGTGTCCTCCGACCTGAGGAGAGGCAAACACAGGGGATCCTTACTGCATATGAAATGTTGTGGCTAAAGCACAGATTAGAAAATCCAGTCATCAACACCACTCCCAGGCGTCGGGGGATTAACTGTCCTCGCATGTAACCGATCACGGGCTTAACATCTCATGAATGTGTGAAGTGCAGCTGTGTGTGGACACAACATAGGAAAATGCTGACTTATCTGCCACCTGCTCTGAATGTATTGAAACGCAGGAGGTGCAATTCTATAGGTTATTGTATTAAAACCACCTCTTTGTTCTTGATGAAAAATAGCAATCTGCAATCTGTTCTGTGCAGAAGCATTGAACGGCGGATCAGAGTCTCAAACAGTGGAATTGAATGTGGTCCAATCAGTATTTTGAAATGAATCCAGTGTTAAGGAAACTGCTGAATGGATGCTCATAGTTAAGATATGGATGCTAACGTGTTTGAACTCCACATAAGGATATGTAAACCTCATGCATTAATAAGTAAGGTACCAACAGAGATGGGGAAATATCGGCTGTTATGACTCCAAACCAGCAACACATGAAATGAAGTCTGCATGCTGTAAATCCTCTAAGGCTGGATATTAATCGATCGAACAATCATTCATTAATCATCCTTGCTCTCAGCTTCCATTAGCAGGCATTTTTTTTAAATCTATTTTCCATTCATGTCGGTGACGGGGTTTTAATGAGCTGGACAAGACTGATGTGGGAATAAGCGGGAAGTTCAGAATCCTTGGGCATTATTATTTGATGATTGTGGAGCTCAGGCGTCAGAGAACACATTGACTGGTTTCACTTGGAGCTACTGTTGTAACAGCATGCTGAACTACTGCTGTGACTTCTTCAATCCTAAGAGCAACTTCCAAATCAGGCATGCTGGCGCTTTGGGAAAGTACATCAATAATTTGTTGGCAACTATTGTATAATTCTGCTCAGATATGGGTTTCAAAACAACCAAGAATGATTGTATCTCCTATGACCAAAACTCTTCTAAGGTGGGACTTTTCAATCAACTCTGAGTTTGACCTTCTTCTAGCAAAATTGTTCCGCTATTCAAAATGTTGTAAGTAACTTCCAATCCATACTTATATATTACAGTGGTTTGTGCATTAATCACTTGAAAAAGATACTATTGAAAGCTTCCTCTCTAAGGAAGAAAGATATAAATTATATTTATGATCAAATGTTTGATAACAAGCCTAAAATCAAGAGTATAACATCTTGAGAAGGACGATTTCAAGTCCTGTCTTAATGATAAGAAGAACAGGAACAGGATTTCTCACAGACTATAGCTTTCCACCATTTGTCAATATAAATAGGATCTTGAGCTTTTCCATGTGTTGTAAATTACAGTCCAACCAACCAACCAGCCATCCATCCATCCAAACAACCAACCGACCGACCGACCAATCATCCATCCAAACAACAACCATCCAACCGACCAACCAACCGACCGACCGACCGACCGACCGACCGACCGACCGACCCACCCACCGACCGACTGACCGACCAACCAACCATCCATCCAACCATCCAACTAAACAACCAACCGACCGACCGACCAACCATCCATCCAAACAACAACCAACCAACCGACCATCCAACCGACCGACCGACCGACCGACCGACCGACCGACCAACCAACTAACCAACCATCCATCCAACCGACCAACCATCCAACCCTCCATCCCTCCATCTAACCAACCAAACATCCATCCATCATACCAACCAACCAACCAACCAACCAACCAACCAACCAACCAACCAACCACCAAACAATTGAAAATGCAGAATATTTAGAAATAAAATACAGAATTCCTTTAATAAATTGAAATGGAAGTAATGAGAACTGAATAATACAAAATCATACAAAAGTACAAAACAGAACCCTTAATTTATGATAATAATTTGAGCAAACACTTATTATGCAACCCAAATAGTCCTTCCTGATAATAAATATACATTATAAATGTTATCATTTAAGTGTCAATGTTGTGAAATAATACAAATACATTGCAGTACAGGAACTACTTATTGTATGGAATCAGCCCCATCACTTCTTCCCTTGTGTCATTTATATATTTGATGTCCTATTATCTCACCATTTTAGTCAAGATGGATTGTTGATGGAGGTTATAATCTCTAAGTCTAAGTGTGGAAGTGTAACCTATCAGACACGCATCCATCTATCATCACAACCACTCATCCATTCATGAACTCACTAATCCATATATCCAATCATACGTCCATGCAGCCATTTCTGCCTCCGAGCTGAATATATTCTGAGCTCAAAGACAAACACAATCTAACACACAGTCAAACACATCATAGACTCATCATTAGGACAACCTCTCGCTGCCTCACATGGTTCCTACGCTCTCTACCTCTGGCTTACAGCAAAATCACATTCATTTAATTATAATAGGCTCTTCTCCCAACTCCATTTACCAGCTCCAACATCTGTGTGCCTTCAGCTGTGAGCATTGTGTGGCATTTTAGGGATTGAGAGAAAGGAAACAATCATCTCAACTCTTGCTAATTACCTCCTGGTTCTGTAGCGCGCTCATTGCACATTTCCTTTGAAAGTCAAACACAATCTCTGCGTGTCAGCTCCACGCAGCACATGACTCTTCCGGATGTTTTAAAGAAACATAGATTTGTCATTCTGCCAAAAGGTTGCTTCTTCCTGCACGTGTATACAGAACGTCCTCTAGTTTGTACACTTCATCGAATTTTGTTGCTGAGTACGTCTCTTCTGTTTGTTTTGCCTTTACTTGTCCTACATGTATAACCTTCTTGAAAGTCCTGCATTGGTTTGCACCAGTTGCTTGTGCATCAATTGCTTAGTTTATGTTTTAGTCATTTCTGAGCTCTCAGTTACTAATAGTAATAGAACTGAGACAACTCTTATGAAAGTATTAAAGGACATCTATTTAAAACCAACAATGGGAAGTCATCTTAATACTGCTGTGTATAAGTGCTGGGTTTGATACAGTTGACTATAACATATTACTGGGTTGGATTTTCTGTTGGTGCTCAAATAAAAAAGAAACAGCCATGGCAAGAGGAGTACCCCGAGTGTCTCTTCTTGGTCATACTCTATTCAACATGTATACCCTTCCACCAGCTCACATCTTGAAGATAAACATCATCCTATAATCCCCTCTGCTTCAGCCCTGTTCCAAAAGTGCTGATTCTGTGTCTGTAGCTTTAAATGCTAATGAGCTGCTGCTGGCCACGCCCCCTCTGAGAGATGACACAATGGTGCTCTAGGAGGAGATTCAGGTGATAAGGTGTGGGGGGGGGGTTGTTATTGGCTAATGGTTACACAAGCCAAAACACATTTGTGACATCACAGATCAGATCAGCTGAGTTCAGGCTTTTTTTTAGGTTTTTGAATAGATGGATCAGGACAAAAAGAGAGGGGTCTTTGTTCCTAAAACTTTCAGAATCTTTTTACATTGAGGGGAACAATTTATGTGCGACGGACATGAAACATATGTTTTGTATAACGGGGGACTTTTGAAGTCCAGAGAGAGTTTCTTACTTTTCAGCTCATTCCTGCTTCCCATTGATAAATGTGAACTCGCCTAAGAGCCGCCCGATACAACCTCAGTTTCCTACTAATCCCTCATAGCGTTAAGTGCTCTACTCAACTGTGGCTCATTGTATCTCAGGGTTGAAATGTGAAGAGAGAACACTGTTGTGTTGTTTTCCCAAAGTCAGCTTCACTAAAACTTGCCCAAGGGCATGTGAAGTGTTAGCAGAATCTCAAAGAGCGAAACATGCTTTACCTCCTAATCATCCCTCCCTGCCAGCTCACTCTCAGACTAAACTAGTATGATCCTCCACCACCTTCAAAGCGGGTGGTTTTTTTCTTCAGTGCTAGAACAGATAAAACAGTAATTACAGTAAACATAAATTCAAGAGTTGTTCTGGTAAGGTGCCCTTCCTTTAGGTCTAGAACACAAACAGTATTTATTGACCGTTAAAGAGTGCATTTTGTGATGGTGAGGATGGTTTGCAGTAGCTTCCCCTTTCCTGTCATCATCATCCTGCAGCCTCAGCACGGCAGTCTCAAGAATTTATGTTTGCACATGGCTGATCGCACTTGAGGCCGGACGTCCTCCACAACACAGGGACCCTCTAAAGACTCATGGTGAAGTAATGGTCAAGCACTCGGTGCAATCCTTGTTGTTTTACCCAGTCCGGAAGCCATCGCTGGAGAAGTATTCATCAGATATATCCTAGTGAAGCCATGTTTCCGTAAAGCACATTGAACTACACTCGAGATATTCCGTCTGACTCCTGGCTAACGCCGTTAGCTCGTACATTTTATTAGCCAGTGATCTTATGTTCCCCATGATGAGAGGAGGGAGACATGGCTTATATTTCATTTTATCCTTAAATCTGGAACCAGCTAACCTCCTTTTTGTCCTTTCGGTATGCTGCATCCTCTGTGTTGTTCTCCAGATTTCAGTGGGGATAGCTGTTATTCCAAACACCATGCTAGCCAGCTTTAGCTCAACTAGCTTCTCCCTGGTGTAAACAAGGCGGTTGCTAAACAACAGTGGCAAATTAACGACGGGAAAAAAAAAACATCTCTCTACAAGAAAGTTTAGAGATTGACCATCTCATGGGGTCCTAAGAGAAGTTTGTAATAGAAAAATACCGAGTAAGAAATATATTTACACAAAAAGTAAAAATTCGGAGAAAAATTGTCAAAATGTGGAGAAAAACAGAAATAAATAGTTAAAATTGTGTAAAAAAAGGTCAGAATTCCAGGAAAGAAAGTGAAAATGAGCTGGCTGCACTATATACCTTCTGTAACGCTGGGTAATTCTTCCAGGATAGATTTTGTACCTCGATTGGTCCAGTGCTTTAACAACCTCCAGTCGATGACGATGGGCAAAGCATTGTGGGTTCAGGTCTCGGAGCCGAAAATAGAGCTTGGCGGTTTTGTTGGGCAGGTCTGATCGCCATATTTTATCCAGTTTATTACCTAAGCTTTTTGAGAGTATTTCCCTGAGTCC